GAGACCCTTTTGGGGTAGGGGCGTGTTTGTTTTGGTGATTTCAAATGTCAACATTGGCTACCAGAAATCGCTTACCCCACCTTTAATATGCCTTTGCTAAAAAAAGTGCAAGAGTCCAACTTTCAAACTATTTATTTATTTATTTATTTATTTTGTTTGTTTGTTTGTTTTGTATACCATTACAATAATTATATGAAAATATTATTATATTAATAAAAACTTTTAATATAACTGGTTCTTTTAAAAATAACTCAAGTATGAACACTTTCAAAGAATAGCTAACTGTTTACGAGCAGCAGAGCATAAGCAGAACACGACTTAATATGGAGACATGCTAGTTTGTCGTTTTCACACACCACATTGAACATGAGAGCTACTGCTTTAACCATCATATTTAAGCAGTAGCAATACATAAGATTTAAACACTTATATTAAAATTCAAATCACAATATCTGACCAAATCGTGCAGCCTTAAATCAGACGTTAGCTTTAGACCACCCACATAAGAACAGCAGCATAAAGAAACTCCAGACTCCAGGCTGACATCAGTTTGGCCAGCATTAGTCTCAGCTCAGGATGGACAGTTAGTACATTTCAACAAGACAAGCAAAGAACACCTCTGCAAGAACAGAGAAAAAGAAAGTGACAAGACGTGGGCTAAAAGAGCTTCTCTGTCTTTGAACAGCTGTAAAACCACAAAAGATCTTTCTAAGAGGATATGACTACCTTCTGAATAACCTCGAGACATATATATCCATTTTGCCAGGAGGCCCTGGTGAGAACTGCCTCTCAACAACAACCAGTTTTGCTCTTTTTCCAATGTACCATATAGAGCCGCAGAAGAGTCTTTCCAACGTTAACGGCTCTTTCTGCTATTGTTGATTAATAATTAAGGAAGTTCCGGTGACAGGTGACACGTCGGACCACAGACGTCAACCTGCTGTATACGAATGGTTTACTTACAATCATCTCTGCACATTAAACTGCAATGAAAGAAAGTATTTTAAAAGAAAAAATACACACTGCAGGAGAACGAGGGAAGACGGAGAACAGGTAATCACTGTTATTACGTGTGATCCTTCCATCACTTATAAAGTGAGTAATAACTGTCCTTTTCTGAAACCATCCTCTATTATTTCTGAGGAAAAAAACAAGAACGAGGAACGAGAGAGAGAGAGAGGCAATGAGTCAGAGAGGAAGTAAGGGCTCTAATATGTTGGGAAAGACAATTAAAACAACCAAGTCTGTTAATATTTCATATAAGACATTAAGTATCCCAGTCCCAAGCTGCTGCCACTGTTGTGTAATTCTATTACTGGATGAAGAATCCCCTGGTGCAATTCTCCAAGGCAAATTGAAGAGGTCGGTTTGAGGGAGAGATGTATTTACAATGGAGATTGCACACTCCGCACACTCACAACAAGGACGCACAGAACGCACACTATTGTGTGCTTTCTCAATTGCAATATGGTGTAAATTTGACACTGCTTGTGAGGTCATGGGGAATTTGTCTTGATATTGTAATTACACCTAATTTGAACAATCAGAAAAACACTCACGTGACACGGCAGATGTGCTTTTGGGTCCTCATTAAGAAAACATGCAGTTTTAAGAGCCCGTAATGTTTTCTGTCATTGTTTTAATTTTAAATCTGAAAGCTTTATTTGTTTGTGGGCAACATTAATCTTGAATATTTTTGGTGTTTTCTCGAAGCGATACAACCAAGTGTTGTATAACCAAGTTGTGTTCAACCAAGTCTCTGCCTTTCTCACACAGAACAACCTCCTCGACAGCAACCGGTCTGGTTTCAGAAGTGAACATTCAACCGAGACTGCCTTGCTCTCAGTTGTTGAAGCC